CTGTTATAGCCAATACACTTACCTTTAAAGAATGTGTGGTACCAATAATTTTAGTGACATCAAGTTCAGCTGTAATCAAAAAGGCCCTGACCATACTTTATTGGGTTTGGAGACAAGGAAAGGACTCTAAATGCCAGAGGGGGTAACAGTTTTTATTACAATTCTCCCAATAAAAATTTATCAGATCCTTTCCCATCTGAAAAAAATAAACAGCAGTAAGATAAATAAATGACAACTAACAATTAAATTATAAAATGTTTGTCTCCCCAGGTGAAACATGGGACCAAAAATGCCCCAGGATATACAGACTAATTTCCATACGTATGTCCCAGATATGGTCAAAGATCAAGTATAAGTTTATATATGATAAAAATACATGTCATTAAAAAAGACTTATTTGAAGGATATTCTACAAATTAAATGAATTGTGTTCTGGCGTTTTCAAGCTCTTAATTATACTTTTTTGTACAACTAAAACTTCCTGGTCAACCACAAGTTGGGAAAAACACAATCAACAGTTAATAAACAAGTAATTAAAAAAACCATGACATGTCCAAACAAATAGTGTGGACATACCTTCATGTTGTAAACTCTTTTCCCAGTAACTACATTTGCAGCGATAAAGACAAATAAAAGCACAGATTTTATCATAATCACAGCCATATTCTCTCGTTTTGCGACAAGGAAGTAAGTGGACCATTGACACGGGTATAAAACGTATGTAGTAACCGGCTATTTGTTTACATCACATGCTATCAGTAGACGCTTGTTTCTGTCAAAAATAATAAATAATTTCTATCATCGCACATTCTTTTTTTTTTATATCTTTTTTTGTCTGATCAAATAAATGCAACATTATTTGAAAGAAAAAAAAACTGATTTTATTTTGATTTTTGGTTGTTAAGCATGAATACATTAATGTATCAAGTATTTTGGTAAAAATCCAAGCATCCAACCGATTACTGTTATGATCAAAGTTGAGAGTTACCGGAAGCAGACACTAGTTCTTTTGTTTAAGACCTTTTTGCGATTCTTTATGAAAAGATGTTGATGTACATATTGTGTACGTTTCTTTTATTGAACGTTGAAGCGCTGCCAAATGTTTTTGAATATGAAATTTCAAAGGCGAGGGATTATGTACATTCGTTTGAAATTCCAAAGGATAAGGTTTGTATAATGTTACATAATGATAAGGTCGTAAGACAGGGCGGACCGTGGACAGGGCGGACCGTATGTTTGGACGGGGCGGACCGTGACTCGAGACGAGGCGGACTATGTATATTTTCAAATTAAATATTGCTATTTACTTTTTTATATATATTTTGGCATCATCATCCTAAACATGTGGTATTTATAAGCATTTTCATATTAAACAAATTTGTATTTAAACTTTAAACATCGATCTAATACTAGTAATATCTACATATGTATGTAATATGAAATAAGATGCTACCTAGCTATGCGCCGAAAGCTCTTATGATTTATGATTTAAGCATAACATGTTTTAGTGTACATGTTAACCAGATCTATCATGCCGTTCATTAAAGTATGTAAGTACTGTAACAGAATCGAATAAATGGTGGTGTTCAACCTATTCATCGGAAGAGGGACCATTGCTATACGTCGGCGTTTGGAAAATCCCGGTCCGCCATTTTCTGTTAATCTCTAATCACATATGTTGTTTTTTTGTTATTTTTACGGGGAAGTCAAAGACCGGGCCGCGAAGCCGGTCCGGGCTTTGGCTTGCCCGGCTATAGACTACACGTGTATATTTAAAAGAAAATCAAATAAAAAACAATTAAAGAATATATAGAATTCTATACCTATCAATAAAATTTTCAGTGTCAGTTCTAGTCGGGCGCCGCCATTTACAATGTAACTCAATGATAATAGGCCAGGTATTCCGATAACGGAACAAATCTCAACTTTTCTTTCGGATAAATAATAATCGTCGAGTGTTCCGAGTGAAAACGGAAACGGTGCATGTAATACCGAATGACATCTTTAAAACGGAAAGAATGAAAGAAATTTTTTAATGACTTCCCCGTTCATAGGCTTTGCCTAATTTCATATTAATCTGCTTATTTATCAAAAAGAGTTTAAAAGTAACTTTTTACATTTATCATCGTTACTGTAGTTCTTATGAATGAAATAAATGTTTTTTTTTAAATTTTGTACATCATTCTTTCACCGGAAGTGTTATTAAGCATGCGTCTGCTAGCAATAGTCTGAATTATGTAGACGCTCATTAAAAGCGCTGTGATATCTATATTTAGCTCAAAAGGATTTCAAAATGGCTGCGCCCTGTTAACTAAGGATTTTTTCTCAGCTCATTAGGTATAGGATATATATTTTTTTGAAATTTTCATTTACTTTTAATTTGATTTCATTTGAATTGATACGCGTCATACATGTAATCTAAGAGCGCAACAGCCCTCACGAGGCCTTTGGCCCTGCTCAGACTCGTAATAATCATGTGCACACGACATAATGCGGATTGTGGATTAATCTAACTTTATATTTATTATTATAGATATTGACCCATACAATTATAAGTATAAAATAGGTAGTGTAACCTTAAATGGGAATGGTTTGAGAAAATCTCCTTTATAAAACATATTTTCCTTTTACGCTTTATTGTTAATATTTATAAACTTGAAACAATTATCTTAATTATACCCCCACAAACGAAGTTTAGGGGGGGTATATAGGAGTCAGCTTGTCGGTCGGTCCGTCGGTCGGTCCACATCATGGTTTCCGGACAATAACTAGTGTTTGGAATGAGGTATTGTAATCAAACTTGGTATATAGTAACCTTATGTGGAAACTCCGGTTGGTATTGCATTTGGACCCCCTGGGGTCAAGGTCACCGTTACTAAAAATAGAAAAATGGTTTCCGGACAATAACTAGAGTTAAGAATGAGATATTGTTATCAAACTTGGCGTATAGCAAGCTTATATGAAGACCTGGGTTGGTATTGCATTTGGGCCCCCTGGGGTCAAGGTCAAGGTCACCGTTACGAAAAATAGAAAAACGGTTTCCAGACAATAACTTTACTTAGGAATGAGATGCTGTAATCAAACTTGGTGTATAGCAAGTTAATATGAAGACCTGGGTTGGTATTGCATTTGGACCCCCTGGGGTCAAGGCCAAGGTCACCGTTACTAAAAACAGAAAAAATGGTTTCCAGACAATAATTAGAGTTAGGAATGAGATATTGTAATCTAATAAGGTGTGTAGGAAGCTTATATGAAGACCTGGGTTGGTATTGCATTTGGACCCCCTAGGGTCAAGGTCATTGTTACAGTGTTACTAAAAATAGAAAAATGGTTTCCGGACAATAACTAGAGTTAGGAATGAGATATTGTAATCAAACTTGGTGTATAGCAAGCTTATTTCGAGACCCCAGTTGCGATTACAATTAATTGAAATATTTCTTTGTACACAATTGATAGTTTGTGTTCAAATTTTCCATCAGACTACTTTTTTTTCAAAAAGTCAAAGTTGCTGGTGGGGGTATTAATCACCTTCAGTGATAGGTCTAGTTTTAATATGTTTTATATATACCATTCATAACATTTGAGCTGTATAGAGGAATATAGATAATTTATATTACTTAATTACAATATGAAAACGAAGAAATAATTAATATACAATGAATAACAGACATCATCTTAATCACAGATATATAAACATCTTATCTTTAGCTCCATGCATGTCTTAATTAATGTAGAGCACAAAAACCAATTCTAATATAAACTAACTCGTCAAAGAATTAAAATTGAGATTCAACACAAGTCAACCAATTAATTATGTAATTATGGGTGTAAATATGAATATATAAATGACCGAATATGTATAACTGTTATTTAAACAGTGTAAATATCGATATACATGCGGTTGCTTTTGTATATATGTTCGTCATTACATGTTCGTGTATCTGTAAATAAATAAGTCTTCCTTTCTGTGTGCTTTAATACGATGTAAATTTTGTCTTCCTTGTGTGTTCATTAAAGGTCTTAAAATTAACATACAAGTCACTCCTCATCATTTTACGTTATTGTGTTATATTGTGTTTCACAATGTCAGATGTGAATCAATAACAAGTTTTTTCTGTGTCATATTGTTTAATAAAGACTTTCAGTTTTAGCAGCGTTACCGTCTTATTATTTAACAAACAATTAATGGCATGTAATGTCCGAACAATTGGTCAATTATCACCTGCATAATATCCAACTTGACGGGGGTTATTAATATTATCCTAAAAAAATTCTAAATTAATAAACTGCATTAAGTATAGTTTAAAGTTTATTTCTAGGTATTAACAAAGTTAAATTGGTCAGGACTGCCCCACAGACGCGCAACAAATTTAATTTTGTAAGTACGTACTTATAAAATTGAACCAGGTTACAGTAGTGTTTTAAACTAGTTTTATAAAGAAACTCGATTTACTAGACTGATTACTAATTTGCAGATTTTTCAAAGTAAATGTGTTACGATTCATTTGAAATACTGCAATCCTATTGGACAAAAATAATTTCCAACACTAATTATATGTATATGTTTATAATGATATTAAAAGAAAAACAATGAAGCATCAATATTTAAATATTTTATTACAATAAATCACGGTCCTACTCGTCTCGAGTCACAGGCCGCCCTGTTCCAAAATATGGTCTGCCCTGTCCAAACATATGGTCCGCCTTGGTACGGTCCGCCCTGTCTCACGGTCCGCCCTGTCCGTAATTCAATGATAAATATGTATCAATCCCAACTTTTCGGGGGCAGCACGAAATACCCAAATATTGCCCAAATATTGCCTAAATATACCCAAATATTGCCCAATTATACTAAAAATAAATGTTTTATACTAAAAAAGTACTGTTTTAATCATGAATACAATATACACTTTCACTAAGATATAATCAAACATACCCAAATATACATTTTTCCTATCAGTATCATTGTGTTTTGAACCAAGATATGTACAGTATATGTATGTAAAGCTATTTTTTTTTTAAATAACATGGACACTTGTATATGAACTTATGATATGAAATTTCAACAAAATTACACCTTAAAAATATATAAGTGTAGACAACAAATATCATATCTTGATTTAAAATTGCAAGTACATTCATAAAGAATTAACCTATATAGTAGATAAGCAAATGTCACAACTTTATTTTCTTACAACATCTTAATTAACTGCCCATTTAAACAGAATGAATGAAAGTTATAGCAGGCTAAGTCATATTATTTTATAAATATTTATTTATTTCTCATTATAATCTATATTTTATACAAACAAAAATAAATATTGCTATATTTGGGTATTTCATGCCGCCGACTTTTCGGCCCTTTCCGTCAGTCTCCGGATAAGGATGAATGCGGTCTAACCTACGCTAAGAAACTAAAGTAAAACATGTAAACAAATAGTAATTTAATGCTGGGGGTAAATGTTGGCAAATTTCTTTGCAATATATCAAGTAAAAGTTGATCCAAAATAAGTAAATTTATACATACAAAAGCAAACAATACATTATTTAATATTTATATATATACTATTATGATTGTAGAAACTAAAAGTACAAAACACTGCAAAATGCCAATCTGTTATTATGGAAGATACCACTATGACTGTTTTAGTTTTATTGATTTTCATTATAAAATGAACAATTTATTTTTTGAAAAATTTGCAATATATATTAAAGGAATATTGATAATTTTCAAACACATCAATTTTTTTTTTTCAACTTAATTAAACCAGAGACATAGATATCTATGTCTCTGCTTAAACAGAAAAATAATGATGAAAAATAGATATATCATGTAATTGTGTTATGTACTTCATTTGGTGTAATTCCCAAGAGCTAAATCCGTATTGTACCGGAAAACGGTGTTTGGCTAGGTTTTCGAAAAGGTCAATACTATTTGATTTTCTTTTGAAAATTCACATGTAGTCTATAGCCGGGCTAGCCAAAGCCCGGGCCTGCTTTGCGGACCCCCTCTTTACCTTCCATGTATAACTATTAAAGCTATTAACTAAATTAGTTACATGTGATACCCATGTTTTTTTCTTTCAAATTAACTTAGCCCTAAACGCCAACAAGGCAAGGCAAGGGTCAAGTCTGCACATGTCATAAATTTAAGTGATTTATTAACCAAAGTTAGTATCAATTGTGTGGATTGTCAGATGGCCAGCTGATCTACAATTCAGGACTGTAATAGAATCCACAAAATGACAGATCCAATCACTTTGTTATCAAAAACTCATAATTATATGATATAAACATTACTATATATTTTTCACTTATAATTAATGTGCATGTGTAATGATTATGTTTTAAAAAACCTTCATGATGATGTTTAAGTTTTTCTTTAAGATAATTTAAATGACGTAAATTTGGCAGGAGGAATTTTATTCCTGTAGTGGCACAACTGTTTGTCAGCCATACATGCAGACAGGATACATGTTGTCATACTTAAAGCTACATGCCTCCAGATGAGTCAAAATATGTAATAGAAAGAGCACCGAAACACGAGGCTATCTGATTTGTACGAGGGGGCGTAGCCCCAGAGTATTAATCAGATTGCCGAGTGTTTTGGTGTTCTTTCTCTTTTGTATCATAGTCAAACATAAAAGCACGTTCCCTGTTGTCACAATATGAAACCCCGGCAAAAATGAACCAATGAACGAACATCTGAATATGAAATTTCTGTCGCTTTCCCTTTCTCTGCCGTCACAATATGTAAACCCCAGCAAAAATGAGCCAATCAATGGGCTTGCTCTGGAGTGCGGGTAACTAATACCCGCACTCCAGTTAACGCACTGTGCATGTATATGTATACGATTTAACCCTGACACATTTTCAACAGAAAGGTCTCCAAACTATGATACAATTCAATAAAATCAAACTTGAGAAAAATGTATTAAGATGTAAGGAAAAGTAAAAAGTTTCAAGATTCAAGTAATATTTTACATATTATGTTCAATTTATGACTGATTTTTCTTTAACTATATTTCTACTGCGTTACTAACGCAGTAAAGGCTATTTATGCATATTTTGACCACTTTTGGTACTTTACGAGGTTTGTTAGTGCCATTGACAATGTGTAAATTGCTTCCTTTTGGTTACTTCACAATATTACTCATTCAAATACAATTTCAAATTTTTTTAAGAAAATTAGCATGAATCTGGAGGCGTGCTGCTTTAGATGTAGTTGAAACAATTGTGTACTGAAAATTGAAACTTTCATCGAGAAACATTTTGTTATTATTATTGCAGCAGCCTTGAAATAGCGACTGAAATAAATTGATTCCTTCATTCAAAAATTAAAAAGCCCAATAACAATAAATTATTCCTTTTTTGAAACGAAAGACTTCCTTAATTACTACTTAAAATGATCGCTGTGCATCATAATGTTTGTTTACTTCCTGTTTTATCTCCGCAAATGGTTTGTAAGTAAATATTGCACAATTCATACTCTAATCACTTTTCACTTTCACTTTTAGAGTGTAGGATGTAAATGAATACAGTTGAATGCATGCTAAAAGTTATTAAAAGTGCACTTGATGTGCACTACATGATCACCACATGCACTTCAAAATGCATATTGTCAGAGGACCCTTTATACACTGGACAGTGTTTCTGTTTGTGTAGCAGTTACTTTTAATTTTTTTTTAAGTATTTTTATCAGTAAGGTAGTGACTTTAAAAATAGAAACATTTAGAAAAAAAGTCAGATTTTGATACCTTTACATATTTTTATTGATAGTTTTATGTTGGTATAATTGTGGAAATAAAGATATTTGATTGATATTTCCTGTATTAATTATTAAAACAATCAGGTAATGGTAATGTAAATGTAACTGAAAATATGACAATTAGACAGATTATTTTAGAAATTAGTTTATCTACTCTGTTCAGAGAAAGACTTTGTATTAGTTTGAATGATTTCTGTTAATTTTGTAAATAAATATGTTGATATGAACTTTAAACTTGAAAATTGTATAAGATATGAATGTACAAGTGTACAATTCTTTAAGTTCTGTTCTGTTTTACTGGTCCCTTAAATATTATGTTTATATTACATTACATTGTTATCAAACTGAGATAGACATTTATTAGGATATAATTATTAGATAAGGTCAAAATTTTGTTTCCTCTTGAAATCATGAAATAATTTTAATGAGCTGACTTAATATAATAACTCTTATTATCGCATGGTTTGGACATTTTCCTTTGTTCTTACAAACCCATTATACTCAGTACACTTCAACGAGCATTTCAAAACTGTATTGTTATATAACAGTACAGTTTTTTCATTGATTCATATAGGGAAAAAACTCGACTGTTATATATCGGTCGAGTTTTTTCGCACCTGCAGTTTTTTTTTCATAGAGGCTCCAATGGGGCAGTGGTAACGACCATTCCCAGTAGCAAAAAAAATGGAATCAATAAAATAAAATAAATAAATAAATACAATGAAAAATATAAACAAAGATAATTAATGAAATGAAATTTACCCTTGTTTAATCAAAAAGGTACATCCGCTGAATGAATTATTTCCACTAAAAAAGCCCTTTAATTAAAATAAATCAATATTGGTAACAGTTTACAATTCGCCTCTAACATTGGATGTCTCTTGTATATGTTTTTTTTCTTTTTTTGCAGCAGACAACTTGAAAAAACTGCTTTATCATGAATAACTGTAATATAGCTAATGATTTATTTGTTTATTGTTTATTTATTTATTTTTTATTTATTTATTTATTTATTTTTTTATTTATTTATTTATTTATTTCTATTACAAAAAAGGAAACATTATGCCATTGCGATAAAACAGTTATAGTATATGAAATTCGTTAGTTACGGGGGTATAACACTGGCTGGGGCGACATCTCGGGATGTTTCTGCAAAAAATTTTTTTTAGCAGAAACACCCCTTGATGTCGCCCCAGCCAGTGTTATATCCTCGTAACTAACTCGTTTCATGTACTATATCTATTACACAGTTTTTAAGTATTTTTTTTGTGATTTAGGACTTTCCCGAAAGTTGTAAAAAAGTTGATATACAAGTACTTAATCAGCTAAATAAATACTGATCAGCCAATAAACAACTTGTCACACTGATAAGATTAAATTCTTAACAGGTACTGTTTCATAATATTAAAACATGAGAATCAATCTTTATATTTAATGTGTGAGGTAGATTTTCTGTCATAAATTTTAGGGCACAATACTACATGTACTGCTAATGAGCGATGAAAATAAAATTTGAAATATTTTCTCTTGTGAATAATGCATTTTTTTAATGTGCTTTGCCTATAGTTAACAATGGTATTTTTTAAAATCAAACTAAATGTATTTAAAAATGATGAGTTTTCTTAATGTTCGAAGTTTATACTTGGGGAAACCTTGATAGAATGTCTGAGTGTGCATTTTGATAAGCTTAAGGTATTCAATATAAATAGATAATATACTTTAGGCCAGGCTCATTAACTTCACACAATGAACACCAGAAGATATAAATAAGGAAGATCATAATCCATGATCTCTGAACTTACAATTATTCGTATTTAAGTTTTTTAATTTGGTTTGTGATTACGGAAGTATTGAAATAATCGCTTTTAAGTCCTTGAAATTAATGTATTGATTATAATTATATAGAAATATATGTTCAACTTCTATTTAACCTTCAAATTGTCATAAAGGTGACATGAATTTTAACTGCAAAATATTTTTCCACTTGAATTTATAAAGGCAAGCTAAAAACAGTAACAGTAATATAAATTTGGGCCATATTTATTACATGCTAAAGTTGTGTAGGCCAGAGATAACTAATGTTGCCAAGTTAGTTTAAGGGCAGAGCTGACCCTTGGCTTGATTCTTTTGTTGAAGGCCACTTTAATTAAGGTCCATTTTCTTTGGAAACTGGCAAAATTATATATAACCACTTCAAATGTGTTATACCTGTTAACTTTCAAAAAAAAAAATTTTTGTTTTATTTAATCAAATCTCATGTTATTATCCCACGCGGATGGAATCGGGAGGGGGATATAGTTTTGACGTTGTCTGTCCGTCCGTCCATCCATCCATCCGTCCGAATTTCGTTTCCGGACTAGTTCTCTGCAACTAATGGCTGGAATTCAACGAAACTTTATGGGAATGTTGATCAGCATGTGAAGTTGTGCACCTGGGTATTTTCGTCTGGATATATTCAGTATTTTTAGAGTTATTGCCCTTGACTTAGTAAAATTTTGTAATTTTCAACTTGTGTCGCATGTAACTCAAAAAGTATTTGACCTAGAGTCATGAAACTTTACAGGAATGTTGATCAGTATGTGTAGTTGTGCACCTGGGTATTTTCGTCTGGATATTTTTAGTATTTTTAGAGTTATTGCCCTTGACTTAGTAAAATTTTGTAATTTTCAACTTGTGTCGCATGTAACTCAAAAAGTATCTGACCTAGAGTCATGAAACTTTACAGGAATGTTGATCAGTATGTGTAGTTGTGCACCTGGGTATTTTCGTCTGGATATTTTTAGTATTTTTAGAGTTATTGCCCTTGACTTAGTAAAAGTTTGCAATTTTCAACTTGTGTCGCAAGTTACTCAAAAAGGATTTGACATAGTCATTAAACCTTATGGGCAGGTTGCTCAGCATATTTAGATTTGCACCTGGGGTTTCGCTTGTGGATTTATCCAGTATTTGTAGAGTTATCTCCCTTGACTTAGTAAAAAGATTGACAGAACAGTGGCGCGGTGGGGGCACCCGTGTCCTATGGACACATTTCTAGTTTTAACTCGATATTATAATGCTGAATTCTGTAATGAATATGTACAATCTCTTCTTATAATACTGTGCCAAGGATCAATAATTCATGTTAGGTTAGGATGTAAACTTCAAACCCTATGTATAATTGCTCCTCTCCAATTAAGTGTGTTTTTATAAGTCTATAAATATAATTACATGCACAAATTCATAATCTACTCAAATTGTTAGTAAAATGCATTTTTTGCTTCTTCCTTTTTCAATATTGATCATTCAATTATTTTGTGATAATGCTTTTTTGAATTTATCCATTGCATCTTAACTAAATTTATATAATTTTTCTTTGACTTAATTAAAGGAAAAATATATTAAAGATATTAATATCATGTTATAGCTTAAAAACTTTGATCCTTTTCATACTATATCATACTAAACATTTTGAAGTCTACATTGCATGTATTGACAGAAATAATAAAGCAAAATGGTGTTAAGAATAAATGAATGATACAACTTTATACATATATATTTCATTTAACATTTACACGGTCAGTCGCAATCTGAAGGACCAAGAAAGCTAAAGTCATTTTCATGGCAAGACTGCAGTACATCAGCTCCTTTAGTGAACGTGAAGAGTTTAAGCATCACTCCAGATCCTCTTCAATTTCCTGGAGATCTTGTCGTGTCAGCAGACGTCAATGTCAAACAAAACCTATCTCAACCATTGCAGGTAACACCTTTATAATTATTCACTCAAAGATTTTTTTTTTCAATTTTCAAAATAATCTGTGGCTTTCTGAACTGGTCAATAAATAGTAACATTATAAATTGGAAAAGGGAAAAACCTGAAAATCGAATTCCAACAAGTTGGAATTGAATTAAAACACACACTTTTTGAAACTGTCGATTTCACTTGTATTTATCATTTTAAGTCGTAACACAGCAGAGGTCACTATAGGGACAGCTTTCTGTCTTTCAATCAATTGAATTTATCAACAAGTTGATACATGTTTAAGTCAGCAGCAGTGTTAAATCATGGTTCTATTGAAGAATGTGCTCAGGGCATTTCAGGGGAAAATATTCTTATTTCTTGCTTGGGGAAACGGCCTATATTTGGCTGTAAAATATAAGAAAGAAAGTCGCTGTCTATTAATCATAGGAAATGTTGATGATGTACAGGTTATATTCAGGTTTAACCCTAAACCTTCTGGAACCAAATATAAACACTTTATTTCTAATTATAGGTAAAGTTGGAAATGAAGAAAAAGGAGCTTGGGTTTTTCATAACTATACCATGCATTGACAACTTTGGATCTTGTACGTATGATGATATTTGTGAAATACTGTCACAGTCTGGAGCTGCTGGTCAATGCCCGCAAGAACTGAAAGATATTGGTATAGATTGTACATGTCCTTTTGCAAAAGTAAGTCAATTTTTTTTGCTATATGGCTATCAGGGTTTTCATTATTAATGGATAGGCAGTCCATATCATCGGTTGGAAAAGCTGCACTATCACGGTTGACCCTTTGCTTAATTGGTTGCTATTGTTGGCACATCTGTTACCTCACATGAAAATATAGATGTCTGTAAGATATCTTAAAAATTTCATATTATTAATTATTTAGCTTTTTGTTATCAGTCTTTTATTATTAACAATAGAAACATGAATAGACTTTTGGTATTCTGATATATTATTATTTGAAACACTTAATTTGATTCACTAAAAGTTAATTCCATAAAGTGTTCATTATATCTAGTCCTAAAGTGGTCCTTATAATTATTTAGCCACATAAAGTGGTTATTATATTTTGTGTTCAAGATACACTGTCAAGTGTGTTCATAAAAGTAGGAAATTGTAAAATTTTTAGTGCCTTCAAGGACTTTAGCTCAGGGACTCTCACATGTGATGTGAGAAACAAATTGACTAGTGGACTCCTTGCATTAATGATAAGTAACAAATGATAACATTGTTTGATATTTTTGTACAGAAAGAGTACAACCTGTCAGGAGCAACATTTGATATAACAGCCACTATTATACCAACTGGTGAATATCAAGTTGAGGCCAATGTTACAAAGGGTGGAGCAGAGGTTGTTTGTCTGAAGCTAGAATTTTCAATAGAATGATTCTAATGTGAAGATCATGGTATGTTATTTCTTTTCGTTAAGGTCAGTATTGTTATGACACAGTGTCAGAAAAATATGCAGTCAGACCTGGATTTGAACACAAGGCCTTTAAGGTAGACCATGGGTAATGCATTACCTCCACTTTGAAGAGTATTCAAATAGGCTAGAATCGCTTGTAAACTACATTGAAATTGAGGGGCGTGGGTTCAAACCCCAGAAGGGACAACCTTTTTTTTATGCTCCCCGAAAAATTTCGGGGGAGCATACAGTCGGCGCCTTGTCCGTCTGTCCGTCCGTATGTCCGTCCATTGTCTTGTCCGGAGCATAACTTGAAAACCCTTGGAGATAATTTGTTGAAACTTCATACAGTGGTAGAGGGCATTGAGGGGGAGTGCAGTGTCAAAGAACCATAACTTTATTTTGCCCGGTTTTTGAATTATCTCCCCTTATAGAAAAATCTTGTTTGGGGCATAACTCTAAAACTATAAGAGGTATCAACATGAAACTTTGTAGGTGAATAGATCTCAATGGGTAGATGTGCAGTGCATAAGAACAATAACTCTTTTTGTCCTAATTTTTGAGTTATTGCCCTTTGTATATTTAATACTTTGAACTTTGTTCGGAACATAACTTGAAAACCCTTTGAGATAACTTGTTGAAACTTCATACAGTGGTAGAGGGCATTGAGGGGGAGTGCAGTGTCAAAGAACCATAACTCTATTTTGCCTGGTTTTTGAATTATCTCCCCTTGTAGAAAAATTTTGTCCGGGGCATAACTCTAAAACTATAAGAGATATCAACATGAAACTTTGTAGGTGAATAGATCTCAATGGATAGATGTGCAGTGCAAAAGAACCATAACTCTGTTAAGCCTTATTTTTGAATAATCTCCCCTTTTAGAAAAATCTTGTCCAGGACTTAGCTGTAAAACTGTAAGAGATATCAACATGAAACTTTGTAGGTAGATAAATCTCAATGGGTAGATGTGCAGTGCACAAGAATCATAACTCTACCTTGCCTAATTCTGGAGTTATTGCCCTTTGTTTATTTTTACTTTTTGAATTGTCCAGGACATAACTCGGAAATCATAAGAGATATCATCAAGAAACTTTGTAGGTTGATAGATCACATTGATTAGAAGTGCAGTGCAAAGAACTGTAACAGCCTTGCCTAATTTTGGAATTATTGCACTTTGAACTTTTTCCACGGACATAACTCTGAAACTACAAGAGGTGTACTTTCCTGTGTCCAAAACCTATTCTGGGAGCATCACCCGGCTCAAACCTGGCTCTTGTTTCTTTCTTTTTTTCTTTTTAATGTTATTTATGTATCTCTCTGATCCCTTATGGAAGAAAAAAAGTTTGATTTAAATTATAAAATTATTTTAGGTATTTTTTTTGTTAAATAATGCCAAAATTTATAGCAAATATGATACCAGATATTTTCAAAGTTCGATAAAATAAAAACTACACGGTAAAAGTATTTTATATTTCGCATGATCAACTAATATACCTTTGAAAAAATTAAGGCAAAGTTTGAAAACAGATCCTCATTTCGATAAATTTTAGGGATATTTTGAACAAGGCATTTTAGATAGGGAAATGGTAAAATAAGTGTTAAAAGTGGGTGGGGTAGGATAACATTTTTATAAATATTAAGAACATTTTGTTTAGAAACTAACATTTTGCTTGTGTAATGTGTTACCTGAATGTTATTTTTTGTTTCTTAACAATGAGCAATAGAAAAACATTTTTTATAATGATGATATTACAGATTATTTACAGTTTCCTCATTTTTGAAAATAAGCCCTTCTAATGGCAAGGTCTTCGTTCAAAAATATATTCATAACTCATAAACCACACGGTAAATTTTATTTAAATTTTGCATACAGGTAACCTTGAAGACATATAACTGTCCTATGTTGTCAATTTTACAGTTCCTTATGGTGCCCATTACCCATGGTCTACCTTAAAATGCCATTTGAACCTGAGACCCATGAAACACCATACCACTATACTGACTGGGCTATCTGGTGGCTTGTGCATTTTCCCCACAAATTAATGAATAGTTACAGGAGAAGTGTTGACGCTAAGATTATTACAGCAAAAGACTGTGTAGAATTGATACAGATCCTTCATGTATCAAAAGTTTGGGAGTCAGATGTTGTTTTATGTACTTGTTTATATGTACATTTATGGTATATTTACTGTAATGGATAAGAGCAATTTAAGAAAACAATGTCATTAAGTTATTCAAGTGTTCACTCAAGTATGTAGTGACCAAAGTCTTCTCAACATCTTGTTTCATCTACAGTTTCTCTAATGAGCATATATAAATTCACATATAATTGGTTTTGTATGCATTAAACTTGTCTCTTGTTTATTTGACCCTTGTATTTGTATGTCCTGTTGTGTGTAATGGACCTGACCTGTTTGAATATGACCTGTCAAAGTTTGATAGATGTATATATTATGATGATAATATTGAAGAGTTGGCATTATATGGCTTTGTCAGACAGCACAAATTTGAAGACTGGCCTGGCTTTATACTTAAGACATGGACACATCATTGTTGCTAGAAAGTTTTTTGAGCCCTTTGTGGCTGAGGGGTTGCCTTAAAGATTTGAGGTATCAGAATTGCAGCCACTGCAAAATTGTATGAGGCGATTAAATGGGTTCAAATTACTGGAGTCTGTGCAACTCTTAGCTCCAGCAGGTGCCGCGGTTTTGACTCTTGATGTTGCTTTAAGTTTGTAACACCTGAGATAAGCCAAAATCATCTTTCCTGTTTATCATGTCAACTGTTTTGGTGTGCTGTAAAAACAAAGAAACAAAGCCCTTTGATTAACCCATAGCCTGTTGTTGTGGCAGCTGATTCTACCTAAGTGACCAATGTAGACCATGGCCAGGTAGCTAATTAATCCAAGTCATCTGATCATGGTTTGATTGATCAGGCAGTTCATATTTTGGATTTGTTTCTAAAAATGTTGATTGGTTTTGTCCAGACTGACAGGTGGACAAGTCTGTAAGATATAAGTGAGGTAAATGTTAATGCATTTTGTGGCTTTTATGAGATAGGAAAGGTCTGTTGCTGTAACTGTCATAATTATTACTTGTTTAAACTTTTGTCTCATTAAAATAATATATATTCAAACAATTGTAAATGCTCACATACTACTGGTTAAAGAAGAAATGAAGAAAAAAAATCAAACAGTAGAATATTTTCATATGTAATTTTCAGATATTTAGACCCTTTTTGTAAAGGATAGTTTCTGTGACCCATAATTTTGGCTTTGCTATTGGCAACACCTTATTGAAAGTTTGATTTTTCACATCATGGCCAGTAAATGCCTTGCATATTGCTTAAAAAGGGTCTATTATTGACAAAAAATGTCTTATGAAAGTAGACAGTTCAAATCTTTCTTGCATTATTGCAGGGTTAAACATGGTTATATTGAGGATGATCCTTCATCAATAAGCCTATATAATGAATTTATCACATTTTATGAGTTTTTTTTACTTTATATATATAGCACAGATTGTCAATAATTTCATTTTGTTTAATCACACCCTCGTACACTTTATATCTTTTTGCATTAATGCTTGAATTTATTAAAGGGGGAATACCCAAATTTATTACTGTGACTGGACACATTTCACTGAATGATGAATACTAAAGTTTAATGTTTTTGCTTAAGATATTTTTCCTTATAGGTTATATTTTGATTGATAATTTATTTTCATTTTTAGATATCAGGGATACATTGAGATGATATACTAAAGACATTTGCTGAGAGAACATTCCATATCCAAGACATCAAGAAATGAATTGTATATTTTTGTGGAAATTTTTTTGTGTCGTTTTTCTTTCCAGATAACTATTTTTGTATGTAGTTTTTCTAACTTAACTACTGATTTGATTTTTATGTTATCTTTTTACTATATATATGCAATTGAATTTTTTATATTGTTGTATGTACATTTTCAGAATGAAACATCTATAAATGATTTGTTGTACATCAAATGGGATACAGGGTTTGTGTATTTGTATGTCATACCTACATATGAGTTTTTATGGTAAAACGACTTGATTACTTTTATTATAGAAGAATCTTTTTTAAAAATGTCCAAGTTGTAAAGTCCAGTTATTTCATCTTATTCAAAATAAAGAACATATTGCCCTGACTAATGGTTTTGTGAGGTAACAGTATCCTTGGTATATGTAATAACTGTTGCATTGGAATAGTGTCACACAAAAATTGTGATTTGCCTTAGTTTTTTCAGGTATTTTACTATAAATTCTTCTCAAAATCTCACTTTCATTTACTTGATTTTTACACAGATTATTACCTTTAAAGATCACACCAAATTTTCAACAATTTGTGTGCTACTTTGAATATGCAAATCATGCTTGGACCAAGCTTTATAAATTCAATTGATTGGTTTGTAGAAGTGTGCAATAATATGTATACATAAGTAATAGCCATTCCTAGTTTAAATTGAGAGTTTTGTTTTAAATCATTGTTAATTGTCAATCAAATATGATTAAAATGTTGCTAATTGAATGTTACATTTTAATAATGTTGCGAAAAAGTTTCACAAAGGGGAGTAACTCTTGAATGACATATTTTTTTACAAAAAAGAGTTATATTATACATTTAAAATTTATGTAAACATTTTGGAACTGAAGATCACATGTTGTTTAAGTTGTCAAATACTTATATGCAATTACCTAATTTTCTATACATTTACTACAATCATGTATTTATGCATTTGATAGGTTATTGCTTTCAATCTAGATACCCGTAGGTTGTAATGGGTTCAATACAGTGACTGTCTTATCAATTTTTAGCTCGACTTTTCTATGAAAAGGGGAGCTATCCTACTCGCCCCGGCGTCGGCGTCGGCGTCGGCGTTAGCGTCGGCGTTAGCGTCGGCGTTGGCGTCACACCTTGGTTAAGTTTTTCGTACCACCCCACTTTATTTCAGAAGTATTACAAGTATGGCTTTGAAACTTACCATACTTGTTCACCATCATAACCTCCATCTACAGACAAGAGTACATAACTCTGTCAAGGTTTTTGACAGAATTATGGCCCTTTTTTGACTTAGAAAGTGTATTGAGCTTGGTTAAGTTTTTTGTACCACCTCACTTTATTTCAAAACCATTGGAGGTATTGCTTTGAAACTGACCATACTTGTTTACCATCACGACCTTCATCAACAGACAAGAGGACATAACTCTGTCAAGGTTTTTGACAGAATTATGCCCCTTTTTGACTTAGAAAATACATTGAATATGGGTAAAATCCACTTATTGCCTTAACCCTTTGAGATATTGCTTTGAAACTTTTAATGCTATTTCACATCATTACCCCCATCTGTACGCAAGAGAAGGTAACTCTGTCAAGGATTTGTTTTAAAAATTAAGGCCTTTTATCGACTTAGAATCTTGGTTAAGTTTTTAGTACCAGTCCACTTTTTGACTGAACTGTTTGAGATATTAATTTGAAAGTTGGAATACTTGTTTACAATCATGATTCCCAAACATGTCCAGGAGAAGGTAATTCTGTCAAAGATTTTATTTGAATTATGGCCCTTAACTGTCAATGTTTTGTATTATAGGCAAGCACTAAAAAACTTAAAAAATCTAAAAAAATTCATTCCTATCCACTTGTTCACTTTACCATAAATTATGTCATATAAACATTGCTGTAATATTCAAGGGTATCAAACAACTAGTTCACTTTAAAAATACAGAGATTCTTGTATTGCCTTTTACTGCAAAAACTTTTTTTATTGGCAAGCAATAAAAAAGTCGAGCGCGCTGTCTTACGGACAGCTCTTGTTATAATAACCTTACTTGGCTGAACATTTCTTGTAATGTTTATAGTTTTTCACAATGATTAATGAAGAGGATAAGAAAGAAACTTTTAAGAATAAAAAATAATTTTGTACTACTTTTTTAATTGTTAGCACATCTGTTACTTTAGATCTGATACACATGCAATTATGTTATTAATTATATAAATATGTAAATTATTCAGGGATATTATCCAACAATGAATCATATTTATTCTGGAAACTTTGTTATGGAAAGTTATTTATATTTTATTATAAACCATTCAAGCTGACTATGTTTTTGATTACTCCTGATCATATAAAATCTCAATTGACTATTGTAAAGTTTATTTAGTGATATTTTGATGTTATGATATTATATGTAATTAATACATAATGTTGTTTGGTGTATATGTTTTATAATATAATTATTGCAGACTCTTTATAAGATTTATAGGATAAATATGCCTAAATATGCAATATTGTCATCAGCCTGTAGGCTTTTTCAAGCCTCAGTAGGGCAGGTCAGTAAGAAAATTTAAAGACCTGATCATGGGATATTATTATATCGAGGATATTTGTTTGTTTTGCATGTAAGATTGAAATATAATTTCACTGAGTGAACACCAGAAGCAATATTTTCACGAGTGGCGTAGCCACGAGTGAAAATATAATAGCTGGTGTTCACGAATGAAATATTTTTCAATCTTATATGTAAAACAAATAAATTTTCTTTTTATTTCATGCTTTTTAAGTGATTTTAAGTATTTTTTTACTGGTTTTGCCGCGTAACGTCACGCATTCTCCTTTGTGACGTCATCACATCATGACGTCACATAATCAATTTTGAAATATAGGTCTGTTAAATTTCTTTAATTTTGTTACGTTTTTAACATGATGTATGATGATATCGACTTTCTTTTCCTAAAGAAGCAAAATTTACGCACGACGGCATTAATTTCTGCCTGTTATTCCATTTAGTTATGATTTTCTTTTCATCCGCATTCAGATATAGTCCGACTACAGTGAAAATTATATTTTATAAATTTCACTAGTGGTTTATCAGAATATAATCATCTGATATATTACAATAAAACACTGGAAAGCATGAAATAAATATAAACATTAGTATGCATTATGTAAGCTTATGCTAATATCACTTCTTATATATGGACTAATATAGAATGGGAGTTAAATAGTTTTATAGAATAGCTGTATGCTAACTTGTGTTAAACCTGTATATTACTTTGTAGCTCAATTTTGAAGCGACGGCACTATCAAAGTCTTTTTTACTTATAACCATTCACTACTTATAACTGATTTTCAAGATGAATTTTCAAATTTTCTGTTAGTTTGAAAAATATTATATTTAAATTATCAATTTCCATTACATGACAATGATATACCAGGTCACTTACTTAAGAAATAAGACAATGTATTCCCAACAGTGATTTTATTACTAAATAAAGTAACTGTTCGGACGTGAGGAATTATATCACAAGTCAAAATATAGATCGTCAAAAGTGGTTTTATTGAATATTTACATACACTTTCAGTTCTTCTATGTTCCATAGGTAAAAAAACTAGTTGTGTTAGAATGATTGATCTTTTTGTCTAGATACTTATGAAGCTATACTTTACATTGTATGGATTTACTGACATCAGAAATGTCTTTCCTACATGTACCTTTTACTATTGAATGATTTTATTTAGGTCACATTTAATATTGTTGTATGATGAATACTTTGTAATGTGTTTTATGATGAATGTTTTATATTGTGTTTTATGATGAATGTTTTATCATATATGTTTAGATTGTTCAAAATTGATATGTAATTCAAAGGGCAGGTAAACTTACTATTTATAATTGCTCTGTTCAAACTATTTTTCAGCTTACAATTTCTGTGTTAACCTTTTTGCTATCTTACATTTTTCTAAATCTCTGAAAGATTATCAATTTAACCTTTGAAAGTACTTGTTTATTATCAAAATTGGGATGTTTACAATCTGTAAAGTGCATTTTTCTATTTATTTCTTCTTTTTGATATAGAATATTTTTCCCTCTTTCCACAAAAAGCATTGCATAAATTTATAAGTACTTCATCTTCAAATACTTGATCACTTTAAAGGACAGTTAACTCTGTCGATCATGTTTTACATACTCATGCAGTATTTGCTGTTTTGCTTTAATTACACTATGGCGCACTGAGCAATGTGGGTTGTGCTGTCGTAACATGTTTTTATTGATGTTTTTAAAACTTTTAAACTTTTTATTTCCATCTTAGGTTTACATCAAGTGAACAACATAAGCATCATTTTATAATAGTTACAGTGAATAATGGCGGCATATTGTGTTAACATGTGTTGAGTAAATGGAGAATGACGAACATGTCCAAATAAAATAAAAAGTGTATGGGAGACACATGACACGTGAAATTGCAAACAAATATATGTATAGCAAAGTAAACAAGCAATCCTGGCATATCAGTGTTACATGTGTTTAGATATTATTTCGATGAAGTGTATTTAGTAAGTTTTACTACAACTTTAGAAGTAACAACACTATTGTAGTAATATATTCCTAGTTAATTGCCCGATGGATTTAATATTTTACTATTTCAATCAAAAATGATAATTACATGTATTTTGTTCCAAGTTTTAAATTTTTGCTTCAAATTCAGAAATTTTAAGAGAAACAAAATATATGTACTTATGTTATGTGCCTTCATTATTTCATCATGATAACAATATTAAAGGGAAAAGACTATTACAATAAAGAAATGATAAGCAGTTAATAAAAAACTGTTCAAAAAGAAATTTCACAAATGTTGGTGGATTGTAGTGCAAAATATTTACCCCAAAAAAGTTTT